TAATTCAATTTCCCCTTGCCCCCCCCCCTCCTCCCTCCGCCCATGAGTGGACCGGTCTAACATGAGATTAGGGTTAGGGTTATGTTTTGAGTATTGTGTTCTTGTGAGGGTTCTTCTTTGAAATTACTAGATTGACAAGAGGGGGGGGGGGGGAATTGTGAAAACTTTGTAGCAATAATTAAAAACCTAAGCAAGAGTTCTAATTTTTTACTGTTTTTAAATTTTTAACATGAAACTTTAACTACTACGAAGGCAAATAATTTAACTCAACGTGCAACAATGAATTTTTTTTTCTTTCACAATTTTCACCAAGCAAATATTATGAAAATAAAGTGCAAGCAAATAATAAAAAATGATAAGGAAAAAGCACACCGAAATTTTATAGTGGTTCGGTCAAACCATGACCTACGTCCACTCCTCGGAGTTCTCCGCTCTAGGTATTTCACTACAAACTATAGCTCTCCTTTTGCCCCCCTCGGCATGGCGGAGAAGCTCTTACAAGACTCACTTTCACTAACCCGGCGTGGCGGAGTGCCAAGCACAGTTTTCACCCTCTTGGCGACGGCAGAGTACCTTCTCGTTTTTCTCCCTTATGGAGAAGGCAGAGTACCTTCAAGGTCACGGATGTAGAAGAGTCTCCCCCTTAGAGAGCCTCCTACAAGTTCTTCTCAGGCTACAAGAGGAGCAAGATGCAGCAAGAACGGAGCAATCGTGTGATCTCCCTCACACCTCTTCTCCCTTACCAAGCTCACCTTCTCCTTCCTCTCTCAAACCCTAAAAATTTCTCAAGAGCTTTCTCCCAAGGATTCCCTCTCTAATCACGTTCCCCTTTATATATCTCACTAAAAAAGATTACTAATTTGATACATAAAACAGGCTTCAAAATACCTGAAATATTCAAAGCAGCCGTTACTATCGTACAGTACGATATGACATCGTACAATACGATATGTATAACAGTCTTCGTCCTAGTACGAAGGTTTACGAACGGTTCAAAATATATCGTACAGTACGATATAACATCGTACCATACGAACCTCCAGTCATCTGTTCATACAGGACGATAGACGGGACGATCAAAACTCGTCTTTGTTCATTGTATGGTACGATCAACTTCGTATAGTACGATGAGGCCAAATCAAGGGATCGTCCAGGACGATCAAAATCAGCCTCTGTTCATCGTATAGTACGAACAGGTTCGTACAGTACGATGACCAATCAGAGATTAGTCCTCGATTTAATCCACTAATTACGGGTTAATTTAAGTATTCAAATAAAATCATACAGTACGAACATTTTCGTGCAGTACGAACGGCTAATAAAACTTACTTAAACTAATCTGGTGGCTAAGGTTTTGGATTTGTAACACATCGTACAGTACGGGAAAAATCATACAGTATGATCTATTCACAGAAAATCATTTTACCAGATGAGATCGTACAGTACGATATAAAGTCGTACAGTACGATATAAAGTCGTACAGTACGATCAACAGAAAAGAATTTCATGTTTTGTTTCCTTTTAAAAAACCCTCTCCCCTTGTGTGTGTGCCGGTTACTCAGACTTACATGCAGTTTGTGGCCAGACTCAAGAAAAGAAAAGTAAAATAAATAGAAAATTACATTGTTTCAGACTCACATTCCTAATCTAACCAGTCTTGAGTCTTCCTGTTGTCCTGAGTAATTTGTGATCTTCTTGAAATGTTAGTACTCACAGGCAATAACATAAATCAAATTATATTCAATGAATAGATATTTAGACGGTATTATTTGTCATCATCAAAATCTCAAACTAGGGGTCATGGATTCCAACATTCTTGGTGTCTTGGACTCTAGGTTCATCTAGAGATTGGGAGAGACGATCCTCCTCTCAAATTGAGGATCAATTGTATCTTTGTTTCGTTGTTTCCGTTAGTTGACTTAGTTCTCTCTTTTGCAATCTAATTTCAATTTGGAGAGTTTTCCATCATATTTTTTTTGTGTTTCTCTGGCTTTTTTTCTCTATTCTTGTTAAGGTTTACTTGAAATATTCAAGTATTTCCTATTAAAATGCATATTTATCACCTTGTAGTTTATTGAAAATTTGGTCGCATCATAAAAACGTTGAAGAATATCATATATTTAGTTTAAGATTTGTAATGTTTAACTTGTTGTAACTAGTAAGTTTTTATTCTCGGTTTCCTGAATTGCAGAAACATAATTCTACATGTAATAGCTGTTTCTGACATAATCTTGTATAAGGGATCTGGTCTTCCAACTTTTCTCTTATGTTACCTTTATTTATCAGCAGTCTAGATTTGTTGAGGTGATTTTCATCATCATGAAGGAAAATAAGAGTTTTCTTGATGCTTTCTGTTAGTCCGGTCCAACTCCAACCGGCCCCCTTCAAAGAGGCCGATTCTTTGCTACAGGAGAAGAGGAGTGGCGGCATAGAGAGAGAGAAAGGAGTGGGACCCACTAGGGATTCAAATTCAAACTAATTGGAGGCAAAGGAGGGAGTGGAGGGGGGGGGGGGGGGGGGGGGGGGGCAAGGGCAAGGGAGTAATTTGGATTTAATAATTAATTGTATGCTTTAAGTATGGGAGAGGGGATTAGGGTTAGGTTATGATTTGATTTGTTTGGGTTCTCTTGAAGTTTCTTTGGCTTCTTTGGCTCTAGACTCATCGTCTAGAGATTGGGAGAGAACGATCCTCCTCTCGAATTGAGGATCAATTGTATCTTGCATTGTGTTTGCTTTTGCTTTGAATCAACTATTACAATCTATCGTTTTGAATTGATTTCATTGAGAATATCGCATTATTTCCGCTGTTTTTATCAATTATTGCTAGGGTTGCTTGCGAACTCAAGTATTTCCTCTTGGATTGCTTGCGAACTCAAGTATTTCCTATCACTTTCCAATAAGTATTTAAGCTGGTGGCAGGATTTTATTCTCACAATTGTATTAGTTAATGTTTAATGTACAAAATATAGTTTTATATTACAGACTCGTGCTCGTGAGTGGCTGTTTTCTTCGGAGGATGGACAATGGCAAATTGTGGAGAGTTCAAAAGCAGCTCGTCTCATTATGGTACTTCTTTTAAGGTCGAGCTTAAATTTTCTAAAATTTTATTTTATGTTATGGAGTGTTTCCTTCCAGAATCCAGTGGTTAACAGTTCATATCAATAGGTTTTCCTGAACGCTAGTCACAGCCATGCCACAATGGAGGCTATACAGGTGAATACTTCGTCTTGTACTAATATGGTTATATGAGCTTCTATGCTGCACCATGGTTTCTGTCTTTTTGTCTGTTTTTCTAATTTAACCTTTCATGTTTTTCAGAAAGACTTGTCTCCACTTGTCAAAAGTTTGGCACCTGCGAAGGATTATGGACATTATCAAATACCGTATGTTTCTTGTTGCTTCAATTTTGAGCAACTCATTTCTTGGTTCTTGCCATGTTGAATGCATGAATTTAGAAGTGAGATAAGTGGTTTCTATGGTGTAAAACATTTTTTTTGACTTTCGCTGGAAGTGATATATATGATTCTTAGCCATTCAAGTTCAACTTAAGTGCCCCTAAGTCACTTTAGTAAGTGCTTAAATGTGATACTTGATATCTGAAAATTCATCTGATCAAGCATTGATATGTCCTCTTGCTGAATACTGTTTAAATCCTTTTTTGAGGAAAACTAAATATCCAAATATATTCTAAAAGCTTATGTGCTTGTTAGACACTTAAAATTGTTGGAATTTTACAATAAACAATGTGTGTAATAGACTGGCCCACTCATATGAATGTGAATAGCTTACTTGAAAGCGTTTATATAGTACAGTGTCAATTTATGAGCATTTTAGTAGATTTCTGTTGGATGGTATCTTCATTTTACTAGACCTGTCGGCTGAAATCAGGAGTGTTTCATGAAATTAAGTGCATGCAATTCTATTTACATGTCGTATAAATTGCTTCTGATTGTCTTATTTGAATTTTGTTGAATGTTTATCACACCTACCTATATACCTGCGTACATAAATATACTTGTAATACACATATCAAACATATTATCTTTCCGTAGTTAAAAGAACTTGTCTAAATTGTTAGTCTTGCAGCCGTAAAACATAAAAATGCCAGTTGAAATAACAATATATTTGATTCTAAAAGATGAGTGCTACATGTAGGTCAAACCTGACTTACTTTTGTGGTTGTACTGTCGTAGTATCTTATAACAGACATGACCGGGAAAAGAATGATGCTTGATAACCCGTATAGACTACTAGATTCTCAGTTCATTTTTGAGAATCAAAGCTATTGAAATCGCCACAAATGTTATAGGATAAGCCTTTAAATGATTTCATTTTTTTTTATTACTTATGGTGGAGCACCAAATTATCTCATTTGAACTTGAATTTCTCAGTTCAGTTGTGTATTATAGCTTTGTCTCTAGTTGATATTGTCAACAGAGCATTTTTATTTTCATTTTTACTTTTATTATTGTATACTTCAACTTTTAGCACTTTCTTTAAAATGTTCTGGTGCTTACCATCTTATAAAAAATAGGTTTATGATGGCCAATGATGGTGTTAAGCAACGGAAGATTGTCTACCAGGTTTATTTTTCTCTTTTATACTTTAACTTCTGAAAATGTTGTAGTTGTACTTGATTTTGTTGACCTGCATGTTAAATCCAAAGGAAAAAAAAAAAAGAAGCTCAAAATTATACCTTGACTGACTGATCCACGAAATTCTGCTACAAATCCCCGAAATCCCGCTCAATACCTCGGATGCATCGATGCTAATACGCGAATCCTGCCAGAAATCCCGGAAACCTCGTATCACTGCCGGAGCTGTCAAAATCCCGTGAAATCCTGCTCAAAATCGGTGATCTCGCCTCGATCGAGCGCTCAAGACTTCATTAAATACCGACCCAAGGCTACTCACTCGCTCTTTGCCCTCTCCCGATACCCCTTCCCACGACACTCCACTGCCTCCTGATCTCCCCTCAATCCCGAGCCCAGCAGCCGGAATCCTCCCAGCCTCCGACCAAAATCCCGATCTCCCTCACTAACCGACCCCCTCTTAGTCATCCAGCCACCAATCCAAAGAGAGAGAGAAACCAACCTTACCTGTGCCGACCGAAGCTCCCAATCTTTCTCTCGCACGGCCGACCTCCACCTCCCTCCGACGACGACTTTCAATTTACTGTCGGATCGGAAGTTAATACATTTGATCGGAAGCAACTACAGGGAGCTCGCTAGCTGGGAAGGTAATTCTCTCCCTCCCGTGCGCTACTTCGGCCAAATCCCTTAAATCTGCCGAACCAAGGGATTTAGTAAATACAGGATTAAGCCGTAAATCCTTAATCCGGAGTTTAGCCATCGCCGGGATTTAACGCGCGCACCAAAATTGTTGGCTGGATTTAGCCTTCTTCGACCAAATCCAGTGAACCCGCCGAGCCTAACCGAGAGAAAGAGAAAGGGAGTGTTTAATTAATTTAGATTAATTAAAATTAATTAAAATTAATTTTAATTATGTTTATTTTAACTAACTATAGTTATTATAATTAATTATATTTAGTTTTAATTAAATAGTTATAATTAATTTAATTAATTATGATTAATTTAATTAGAATAAATTTAATTAATTATAATTTATAATTATTATTAATTACCATTAATTAATTATATGTTATTAAAATTAATTAATGTTTATTAGTTATAATTAAAGCTAATTATAACTAATTATTTTAATTAATTTTAATAAACTATAACTAATTATTTTAATTAATTATAATTAACTATAATAAATTAACTAATAGTACGATGTATCAACCACGTGTCAACCACGACAACCCCGCGGAGGTATGAATCTTTCTAAACTCAAAACCTT